CCGCTGAGATCTCACGGACCCTCGAACCCTTCCCACTGGCCGGTGTGGAGCCCGTTCTCATGGTTGGTACGCCTGACCATGACAGCATTCCCCCCCAGTGGCCCTCAAGGGCTCTCTACTGGGCTTGGCAGTGGAGGCCGACATAGGAGTACTGACAACCTTGAGACACTTCATTCGCTCCTCGATGGCCTTTCGACGGGCCGCAGTCATCGTGTGCAGTTTAGTAAGGATCACCCCCTGCAAACTATCGTCTCTAGTGAGTATCTGAACGCTCCTGATAAGAGGCCCTAAGGACCAGGACCACGCCCACAAGGTCCCCTAGGGTGCAGGCGGCTTCCCGGACCGTCTTGTCGGACTCATCGAGACACGGCAAGAGTACAGTCTCCGCCATTGGTAGTAGCAGGTCCGCTGAGACGAACGGTAAAGCACGAGAGCATATGCCGAGCACCTTGCGGACATGAAGTGTATCTTTCTACAGGCAACCTAAGATACCCCACCTCTCGCCTCCCTATGGGGTTCTTGTCATTAATGACGCCTGCCAAGTCCTCGACCAGGCGATTGTCCAGCGACAACGACTGGTACTTCAACAGGGCGTCGATACACCCAATGGCCTGACGTAATTTCGTGGCGCCGTGACAAAATCCCACGCCGACTAACCTGCCTCAGTACTCCTGCATTTTTCTCTTTGATCTTCGTGAGCATCGTCAACAACAGCATCCTACTGTGAGGCATCTCCCCTCGGAGCCCATTGGCCACCGCACACAGTGCACTACGGCAAGGCCCATCATGACCATCCCTACACGGACGTCCGCCCACCTGCACGCCTCTGTCGCCACCGGTATGTTCTGGTCCAGTTTGACAACCTTCATCAGGCACTGCACTACACTAGACGCCGAGTCCCCCAGGACCTGCCAGGCTGGACTGACCGGACCTTGGGGCCCACAAGAGCAGCAGCAGCGGTTACCATTTTCTTGTGCTTCTTAGCAAGGGCCGTGAGTTGGCCGATGGCGTCCCTCTTCTCCACCCACTTGGTCGCAGAGGTGACCTGTGAGACCTGAGGGGCCATCCACGAGGGTCGCCATCAGAGAGGGCCTACAAAGTCCTTAGGAAGCATCTTGAAGATGTCCTGCGGCTGTAACATGTCGTACGCAGCATCTTCAGTCGACTGAGCGACGGCCCCCGGGCTCACAGCACCCGTCGCACCTGGCATGCTTCTACAGCGGAGCGAAGCAGCGTCGGCTTTTTTCACCTTCCGCTGGTAGCTTGACCCCAAAGGCAAACCTCGTTGGAGTTTCTGAGGGAACCACTGGGCGGCGAGGAAGAGGAGGAAGGATGGGTTCACTTGGTTGGCATTCCCCCAACCTCTCACAGCGAGTCTTGAACTCCTTCATTTGGTTATCCGCCAAACCATTGCCACAGGCCTCGACGTCGGGCAGCCATTGATACAACTCAACCAAGAGAGTGTATCTAGAGGGGATCTTGGAAGGGCTAGACGGACGTGACCAAGTACCCCGCCTCCTTCACGCCTCTGTCAGTGCTCCCACATGCCTCAACACCCAAGCTGAGGAACTCCTTTGGGGGTATCACAGTGGTCTACATAAGATCATAATGACCACTAGCAGCAGGTCCCTTACCCCAAAGGCCTCGAGGAGGCTAGTAAGAGCAGCGAGGCATCCAGAGAGCTGTTTGTTGGTGACCCCTTTAGCTGGCATCTTCTTCCCCTTAGGCGGCTTCAACAGACCCTTGGCATGCCCACATACACCTTCCATCACCTCCTAACACCACCAGGTCAAACCAACACTAGCTACTCCGTCACCTTCGACAGGCCCTCCTGCCCTTCGATCGCCTTCGCCAAGCACTCCACACCGAAGCCCTGAATTTTCTGGTTGCCCGATATGTATTTCTCCAGAAGTCCAGCAAGGAAGGGCCCAAGGTTGAAGTTACTAGCCCCAGTACACGCCTAATAAGAATACCATAAGCTTGCAGGCGTGGTCCATGGCTGCCCACCGCAATAGCCTTGCATGCCCCCTCCTGGCTGCGGGGGTTGGTCTCGCTGGTCACCACCGATGCACTCATCAACAGCAACTCCACGGTAGCGACCTTCTCCTTCTCTTCCGTAT